AATAATATATTATTGAAGTATGTGTTAGATTAAATAATAAGCTAATGCTCGATGTAGTGTAGTATAATATAGAAAATGCAAAGTGTACAGGTTTCATTTAATGATGCATATCTGTCTTTTTGTAAAAATAATACTTCATAATTTTTTTTAACTGAAATTGTACTATTCTTCTTTGCTTCGAAAATTAATTATATCATTAGTTATACCTCCGCCTACACCTGACTTATACTCATTTTGCTATATAATATTTAAATGTTTATCCCAGTACTTTTTAGTGTCGTGTTACTTTCTCCACCAAAGTATTTCTATGAATAGTATTCAGTCTACTAATTTGAACCTTATCAAGTATACAGTAGTTCACATGTTGTCTAAACACCTCTTTATCTACTCTTACATTTGCATAAGTATACTTACTTAATTTTATTTCCAATGTAAAAAATGTATTTAATACAATTTTAATAAAAAAATAAGCAGATATTCATAAGAGAAATGATTGGTATATGATAATAGATTAGTCTCTATTAGGCCTGTGAAGTGTTAACAAAATTGCGCTCGATTCTCATGGCACGAGCTTGAACCGGAGCGTCGATCATTTGGGCGGAAAAAGGAAACGCCCATGGCTTTACCGTGGAGTGAATGCTCCGCAGAAGAGGCGTTAAATGCAACAAAACCATGACATCCGGTGGACACGGGTCGACACGTGACCTGTTCAATGCTCTTAAGCCAAGTACTCTACGAAGATGACCAAAATGACGTCCTAGGCATTGTTAAGCTGCTAAGGCGCTTTGTTGGCAATTTTTTTTCTATCATCCCGTAACAATGCTATTCGAACTCCATGTTTGACAAGTATAATTGTCACCCAGAACTACGAGTACCATTTTGACTGCATTTTGAAATCAATATTTTTTCTATTCAATAGATAAAATGTTTCTGTTTTTGTTAGGTATTATAAAGTGTCACTGAATGGAAGATATAATATTGTTCTAAATTTAGGAATCTAAATGTAGAAGTATCTTATGCAAGATAAAATGAGAAATATAAGAAGAAATCCCATTTTAAAATTGGTGTAACAATTGAATACAGTCTGTTCAGTCTCAAACATTACACTTTAAGAAACACCTCCAACTACAATTAACCTCGGCAAAAACGTTAACAAAACACCATTCTTATTTTCTTTGAAACATACCACATTGCTACTTCATACACTAGCAAACTTTCGCAAACTTGCAGCTTTTCTTCCAAACGAGACATTTTCCAGGTTTTCCTTTCAAGAGAAAGCATCAAGAAAGAAAAAGCAAGTCTGCAAAGATCTTCTGCTAACATGGCAGTATAATAAAATCATCCTGGCCAGACAGTGGCGTAATACAAAGTGCCTCGTTCTCTACCGTAGAAAGTTTGAAGCCTCAGGAATTGTTTGTAGAACTCACTTGTTGGCCTCCCTCTTTCTATCTCGTGTTCAAGTCCAAGCACGCGACAGCCTCAACCGGGACAGTTATATGTATAGTTGGATGGATAGATGGATAAGTAGAAGGAGAAATAAAGCGACCACACAATTATCTTAATGGAGTTGTGGACACCGGTGGGCATTATCGATTCGATGCGTAAACGTCACTACGTCGCTGGTCTGTCGTCTAACACTTGTACGCTTTGAAACTGAGAAAATGCTGGTACCATAGTGCAGACTTGAAAAACAGGGGTAGATTTGATTAATCGAGAACTTGAAATTTGTAGGCTGATATCAAAATGACTCTTTCTGGTCTTTCAATGCACTTCATTTGATTGATTATTTGTATTACAATATTAATTTGGAAATTCAATATTTAACTTCGTTTTATTAATAATCTCAACAAGATCGTGTCGAGGATGTCAACTTTGTGTTTTAAATTTGTAATATTTCGATTTAATTGTAAATCGACATGTGTATATAATATTCCAATTTTTCGTATTGATCTATATGAAAGTATCTAATTGGATCTCTTGTAATAAATATTTTAAACAGAATGAAAAGGCGATTTGTTCTGTAGAAACAAGCTACTCGCTTGTAGATACCACTATTTCGGTGGCACTCTGCGTAATATGGTAGTAAAATACATATTGATCGAGAGCTTACTCCAATTAAAGATAGATTAAAGTAATAGAAATGTCTCATAACAAAATGTACGAATCTATAAAATAATTTTGAAAAACTAAGGCAATTCTAATACAATGTTTAACCACTGTAAATTCGAAATACTTATTATGGATCCGCATAGAATCCATACCTACTATGCGTTCTAACACCAGGCAACGCGTAATCCAAGAGTTACAACGTGTACTGTCCAACATGACTATTTTTTAGATTTCTACAGTTCAACACGATTGCTTTTTAGAAGTTCTTTCAATTTTTAATATTTGAATTTGTTAGTATTAACATTTAACAGTAGAACTACCAAACCCGTTAAAATGACGGTTTGCAAATTTCTTATGTTACGATTCGTGAAATTATAATAGTGCTTTTTAGAAGGATTTATGTTAACTTTTCAATTACTCTACATTTTATATTATACTATCTCATGCTAAATTATACTACATCACTATACATCCAACGCTGGTAGTTCTAGTGTTAAATTTGTTCACTTCAACAACAATTAAAATCAGCAGAATATAATTTCGCGTACTATATGTTCCAATATGTTAATTATAATACGTTAACAGTACTGTATTTCAAAATTTAAGAGATGCTATGAATGCTTAAACATTCGCAGTCTAGTTACTAACAAAATAACTATTTACTATTTTCTCAAATATGACAATGTGTCCAATGTAATTTTAAAAGTGTTCTACATGTGTAAAAACACCTTACACACACAACTATACGCGAATCACCGAATGGCGACAAATGGATCGGGCGTATTGTGTTTCCGGTTTAATAATTATTTTCCATTATTGCAAGAGTGAGCATGTTGGCAGTAACAAGGCGGGCGTTGTTTCAGGTTGTAGGAAAAGTAGCGACAAAACGTTGGAATGAACAATCCACTCATCAGAGGTGGCCACGTGAGCCGCACGTGCCAGGAGCGTGCCAGAACAACTGGTGCCCCGTCGCTTCTGGCACCATGTGCGCCAATGAATATGCACGCGTCCACCCCATCGGTTTCCTACCTCCGTCGCCGTAAGATCACCCCGTGGAACGTAGGTGTTACCCCCTTCCCCCGTTGTTACCAGTCACAGCTTTTGTTGACCAGCTCTTATGCAAATTGACTTCGACTTGTCTTAACTTTCGAATGTATTCCGTTGTTACGACATCTGTTTATTCATTTTCGACAGTTTTAGAACGTATTTGCAAGCTAGCGTTCATTTAACGACGATAGTTTTCGTAAGGATGTGAGTTGTCTGATCGATGCAAAAGTATAAGATTTATTCAGAATTTAAACAAAATAATGAGTATTCATAAATTCAATAAGTCCTTCAAAGCCACTAAAGGTCGTAGGTACAAAAGACAATTTTCTATCCAATTTTCGGTGCCGCTGCGAAGTGACGTTGTGTTTAATCTTCAACCCTTCAGAACGCTTTACTTGTTTATCCACATTGTCTGCACGACCTTTACTGACATTGGAGAACTTATTGTCGTGGGTCGTGGAATTCATCTTTAAAGTAGCTATCGGGTACCCACATAAAAAGGAAGCATTCCATTTGGAAAAACCAAAGCTAACCTTCGGATCATTAACACCTCCCGACAGAATAAAACTATTATTACTGTACCCCGATCCCAACAAAACTATGCAACTACTGTAGGAAACATTTTTATGAAATTTTAAATGTACCAGAAATAGTTCAGATGGTAAAGTTCGGCGAATACCCGCTATAGAATACAAAATCATCCACTCTATCGTTCATCATAGGAAAGTATCAAGCATTATCAAAGCGTCTTTGACGGTCCTAAAAGTGTTACTTCAAAGGGCCACAAGAAGAGGGTGCGACGAGAGTAGCCCGCATTTTCGATAGAGACTGTTGAAACTTTTAGGTGCACAATGGTAAACAACGTGTAAATCACACGTAACAATGCTACTGTACAACGAGTGTGACCAACTGCTGTACTGACACTACGTCCTCGATGACATATGGGGCAGAGTCGATGATCTTGTACTTAATGCTTTGTGCCCCCTGCATTATGAACTTCGAGAGCCACTTCAAAGAGTAAGAGCCGGTACTTGAAAAGGATCGTCACTTTTGATACTGATCCAACATTCTAGTATGCTATGCTTTATCACTGTTAGCCGCATACGAATTTACAATTGATTTTGTAATGAAAATACATTTAACATATTAGGTATATTACAGAGTACTCACGATAAGCTTCCGATTTGCCACTGCTAGTTGATAAATTAATATCACGGAGTTCATTGGAAGATACCCAAATAGCACAAGAACGTCCTATGTACGTCCGATGGACGTACGTTCTGGACGTTCTGTACATTCGGAGGATGTCCCAAAAACGTCCATATGTCCCTGTTATGTCCCCGTTATGTCCTCGTTAAGATCTTTAAATGTCCTAGGAAGGTCCTATTTACAAAGTGGAACGTCCTCAGGACGTCCTGTGTCAACATTCTCAGAACGTTTCCCGAATGTATAAAAGTAACATTCCCTGTACGTTTTGGGAACGTTTAAAGAGATTTTAAAAAGGCTATGGTAATGTCTTAGACGTATAAGAAACGTTTCCCAAATGTTTAAAATTGCGGTTAGGTTTCATTATGTGCAAGGTGACAGGAGTTAGGTTAAGTTGGTTTGTGTTTAACAAATAAAAGATTAACTTTTCTGCGATTTCCGCACTTAGTAGAAATTAGATCTAGTTAGTTGGGTGTAACATTTTTCAGCTCCAGTATATACCTTCAAAGACAAAGTTCTTTCGATCTCGTGTAAACATAAAATGCATAAGGATAGAGAGATAAAAGAAATGTTGCAAAAAATTAAAAACGAAATCGAAGTGAAAATGAAAAAGAAATATCAAATTAAAAAGGACTCACGTTCTTCCTTGATCGAAAAACAGCTTGGAGTTTCAATCTTCCGTTCTAAAACAAAAGGAAAAGAATAAACTAATTAAGTCGATTAAACTAAATGTGCGTGCAATTTAAGCACATTAAGGTATAATGAAAGTTGCGTAAAGTAACATAAATGCAAAAAACGGAACGAAAGAAAAGAAATAGAACGAAACAAAGAATAAACTCTTTTATTATATCTTCTTTCGGTTTGATGAATAATTCAATAATCTGGTATTCAGATTATTTTGTTTTTTTTCTACTTGCACGTTTGAGCTTTCATCGGGAGATTTCAAAGCTGGTTGGACAATGTGTCATTTTGTCTCCGTGATGTACCATAACGTTTTTATAGGGCATCGTGTTTGCCATGTTTCAGCCTGACAGTACTTTTCTCGCAACGTGAACATAAATAATTTATCTGCGAACAAGTTTACCACGCTCACCGTGGACCTACCTGCGCAATGTCACGAATCGTATCTGCGTGAATTAAACTGTTCACGCAAGAACCTTGAAATTATTAAACGTCCAAATTAAAATATCATTTGAACATGTACGTAGACGGTTAGTTAAATAAATAAAATTGAAAATGCATTTTTTATTATAATAAAAAAAAATTTCTATTTACCTCGTAACTCAGCTTGCTGCAATTTTTAATATACTGATTAATATATTTTTGTGCGCTTATAATATTATTTACAACAAAAGTGGAAAATATTTCTGGTACTTGCGTAGAAAAAGAAATATTTTTGTATCTGAAATGTTTCAACTATTTAAGTCGCCTAAATAAAACACTTTAAAAAATCATTAATAATGTTAATGTCATTACAAATAATTGTACATATAATAACGAAGAAATTAAATTTTCCTTGTAGAGTGTATTTATATTTATTTTTATTTTTATATTCCTTGTAAACTGTGTTAACAATTCGAAACAAGAGTCAGCAGAATACGAATGCTTCTTTCCATTACAGTATACAAGGTATACTTCCCCTTCACCCTTAACTCTTATGTGGACAACCAAAATATTCACGGTTATTAAGCAATCGTAATATTCCTATTCTGACGGATTAAATAAACACAGATAATTTTACTTCCATAGTTTTCCCTTCCTGTAACATACCAAATACTATTTTAGACCAGAACCTAAAAAATTATCCAAGGAAACTTAGAAATGGGTACTTGGGTACCCTGGTATCCGGTTGCCTACACAAGGGTTAAAACCACGCCACTGAGATTTTTTTCGTAACAAATCAAAACATCCCCTCCGTCCATTTCACGAGAAGTAAATGGACCCTCTCTCTTTCTCTCTGTTATCGAAAGTATACATAATCGTAAGTTTGCACGAGCGCGGTTTAAACGGTGTTTAGTTCCCATCAAGAGCCACTTAATCTCCGATCGCGTAAACTCGCGCAACAATAGGGAACGCGTGGCTTGTGGAGGGGCACACGTGATTACGCCCGGGCAGAAACATCATCGACTAGTCACGTGGCGCCGGAAAAACGGGCGCAACACGCCAGACACACACACACACACACACACGAAACGAGCTCTCTCTCCGTCCGAAAAACCGAAACCGCAAAACCCGAAAGGATCCACGAGTACCGCCTACAAGGAAAACAACCCCGAGTCACGCGTTCCCACGAAACACGCAACGCGAGACCAGCATCAACCCCCTCGAGTTCTCTCTCTTTATCTCTCTCTGTCGGTGTAACGTTTCGGATTACATGGTATTTTGCTGTTACGTACTGCTCTTGCTGTCGGATGTTTGCGGAGGCTTGTAATCGAATCAATGAGAAATGTTCGCTTGTGGGTTATAATGCCTTTTGTCAGCGAAACGCCGTAGTTTTCTCACATTAGTGACGTGCGATGGTTTTGTAGGTTATGTTTAACGTGACGAGCACAGAGTTCCTCTGAATTTTCATAGATGCGTGAATACCATTTCTTTATTTTTTAGTGCTTTTCTATGGTGAAGACAGTTTTTGTCTGGCATAATATACAAGATGATGTGAAATTAGGGTAATAATTTGATAAATTGTGTAGGAAATCATTTTAAGTAAAATAATGATATGTGAACTTAGAGTTTCCAAATCTTTTTCGGCTCACCATCCTCTTTTCAAAGTTTTCTTTGTTCAGCCCCTCCTTGGAATAAACTATCTCTACAGACTCCCCTCGATTATCGTCTGGCTTGTTCTACACGATTATTGTCCAGGCAGTATCCCTACCACTGAGGGGAGGGGGGGGGGCGTAGAACCTGTCAAGCGCATACACTTTGTTACCCCTTCGCTTTTGTCGTCGAGACTCGGGTTTCGGGTAAAAAACGAATTCACGAGGATCTGAAGCATTTCTCCCTACAAGATTATTGTCCCAGCGCGGACCCAAGTTCGGGACGATAATCAAGAGGAGTCTGTAATATAAAAATTTCCAGATGTAGTTTTTGCACTCGTGCGTGTAATCTTTGAATCTGAAAAAGTTAGATTGAAAGTGAAGAAAATAAAATAACTAGAACGCTCCCCAGATCTCTGCTATTATCAATACATAGTTGCAGAAGTTTAAAATTCGTAAATAAATACATTTTGTTGATTTGTTGATGCAATGACTGCATTCCAGCGTCAGAAATACATTTTAAGCATTTGTTATAACTTTGACTAGTAACTGAATGATATTTCACATTGTTGTACACAATAATCGTAAAAATCCTTTGATTGTTATTTCTAATACAAAATTAACCGAAACACATTTCCAAGCTACCCATACCTATTTAAATTGGCAACACGTATAATTAATGTTTTTAACATATTCAGAATAGGACACTCCTTCAAATTAATATAAAACTATACAAAAAACTGCATTTCACAATAAATCATGCGAAACCTCAATAACTACAGAATGCACTATTTGTTTTGTCCATATTCTTATTCAATAGTATGTTTAAAAAAAGTATCGATAATCTATCCAAAAGGTACTACAATAATATTGTAAAATCAATATTTACAACGAATAATACATTACTGGCATGTTGACGATGACGGAAAAAATTCTTAATCTTATCGAAAGCCAACCTCTTCAGACGGTCGCCCGAATAAATGACGCACTATAATAGTGACTGTCTTAGCCTTACCCGACGTGCTAACTCGGGAGTAATTGAAAAGGAGGTCGACGCTTGTCGAGGCATGTTATCAGTCAAAAAATTTTGTAACTTATGCGTCTATCGTGATTTCACTGTGTAAATACGGTAATTCTTACAGCTCGAATAACATACCTACTTCCCAGTTACAAGAAGCAAAAGTCACTGGGGCATTGGGAATAAGTACAGATCTAAAGAGATTTCTGTATATCAATCTCTACATATACTCTAAAATGAAAAAAGAAGAAACTTCTTACACTTATTTAATACTTTTTTCGGATGTCTCAACTTCTAGTCTTCAGAGCACCTTTAATCCGTAATTGACGAACGTGGGTCATTCGAGACCTACTAAGTTTGATAAATTATATAAATGAGACTTCGACATGGGTCAGAAATCACGCAGCTTCATCCACCACGGATCTATTTTCCGTCGGTTAACTGATGATGAAAATACATTTACTACTAGAAATATTAAGACTTGTACGCAATTTCATAAAACTTTATGCATTTATGTAATAATTGTATCTTGATAGTAACTTGTGTAATTATGTGATAATAGCAATAAATGTCACAGGGAACAATTTTTAATTCCTTTTTAATTCAATTTTGAAATCATGCGTCTAATTTCTTCTTGCAATTATTTATTAGTTGAAACGTAATTGCTTATGCCTTGTTCAATTCAGAGTCTCAGAACCATCTCCTGCAAATTAGTAAATATCGAAGAAGAGTCTACTAAATTTTAAGAAACCTGCATATTTTTTAAAATTGTAAATTTTATTCACTTACGTCGGATAGAACCGAGGAAACCAATATAAAATGGACACTGTAATCAAATGTAACACAGACTTCAAGGTGTCTCGGACTTAACATTATAAATAATAAAAAAACTATACACCAATCTATAAGATGAAACTACCTTAAACTCATTTGTTTTAAGAACTGAACTCACACATTTAAAAAACAAAAACGACTCCTTTAACACCGAACCATACAAAGTACTTCCGCACGATTAAATGATCCCAGCAGCGAAAGTGTTAAAAAAACGCAATCGACTCAAAGTTAAACAGAAAACCCCGCAATGTTTCCCCGTAATCGACACTCCACTCACATTTACTAAGAAGCTATTTAAGTCTCTCCTCGTCACGGTCCCACGAGTATACCCAAGGATTAAACCGAGAGGAAAAAAAAAAGAACAGAGAAACGAGTAATCCGAGGGAAGAAGACAGAGGGAAAAAAAACGAGACTATCGATCAAACCCTCGAGTTTGAAACGTCAGCCCCTGAAATGGACCGATTTCCATCGCACGCGAGCGCCAGGTAAAAAAGTCGTAACGCGTCGTAATGGCGACGGGGTGAGAGACGGCGGTAACTCGATGCCGTGGCACGACGCGTGCTCAGGACACGCTTTTCCCAGAGACTATTTACGCGTTCGACTGCCAGCAGCCCACACTTGCCGCCTTTCCTCCAGTGTCCTCGCGATGCGTTTTATCGTCGCAGTAATTTTCGCGGCGTCGTAACGTCCCCACCGCCGCGGTGAAACGCCACTTCGCGGCTGGGGGCCGTTTTCCAACTTTTCACGCGCGGCCTCGTATCGCGGCCCGTGAAGTTACGGCTTGCCGTAACGGCCCACTGTCAACGCAGTCACGAAACGTCACTGAAACTAAGAATCGGAAGATATAAACATAATTCTTAAAAATAAAAGAAAAGATTGATCACTATCACATTCACACGATTGCAATCATTTTTGATAAATTTTCCATCGTTTTTCGGAAAAATGATAACATTTTTTGGTCCGTCGGAGGCATTCTTAAATGTCCTGTAAGAATTATTCTTTCGCAGAGGTCCAAAAAGGGCCATTTTCTAACATCTTCCTTTCGGTAACAAATTAAATATCTCATAAAGTATTGTGG